TGTGTGTGTGTGTGTGTGTGTGTGTGTGTGTGTGTGTGTGTGTGTGTTTAATCTTATCCCACCATTGAGGGAAATTATGTCAGGAACTCGAGGGAGGAACCTGGAGGCAGGAACTGAAGCAGAGGCTGGGGAGAAACACAGCTGACTGGCTTGCTGCTCTCCATGGCTTGCTCGTTGTGCTTTCTAGGACCACATAATCAGGGTGGCACCACCCACAGTGAATGGGTTCTCTCACATCAATCAGTCATCCACCAAGAAAAGGTACCACGGGCTCTCAGCAAAAGGCCAATCTGATGGAGGTAATTCTTTAACTGAGGTTCGTTCTTCTCAGATGACCCTCCCTAGTTTATGTCAGGTTGTCAAATCTAACCAGCTCAAAAGTCTAGAGAAAACACAAAATAACAGAAGAAAAATAAGATCAATACCAAAATTTAAGAACTTCAGATAAGCTGGGCAGTGGTGGCGCAAGCCTTTAATCCCAGCACTTGGGAGGCAGAGGCAGGTGGATTTCTGAGTTCGAGGCCAGCCTGGTCTAACAGAGTGAGTTACACACCCTGTAGTAGGACAGCCAGGACTACACAGAGAAACCCTGTCTCGAAAAACCAAAAGAAAAAAAGAACTGCAGATAAGACTGATGTTTAGGAGTGGGCAAGGGGGAGACACAAATGAGAAATATTCACAGACAGAAAAGGGGGAGGGATTTGCTAGAAGTCCTAGAGAGTTAAGATAATAACGATATTTTATAAACATCTTTAAACCAATAAATGTGGTAGTTTTGGTGACTGACACTGCTTTCTTTGTTTGTTCCTCTTATTCTGTTATATTTAAGGTCTTATACTTTTGGCCATCTTTCTGCCTCGGCCTCCTGAGTTCTGGGATTACAGAAGGATGCTACCACATGCAGGAATATTGTCTTTTTATAAGACAGATTGTCAGGCTAGGGGTGTAGCTGAGTGTCTGTCATGTGCAAGACCCTAGGTCCAATTTCAGAATCACTAAAAAACCAAAACTGCAAAAGCTCATGCAAGGAAATAACTGGAATGGCTTTGTACGTATTGAAAATATTTGCA